GTGCTCCACGCTTTGCTTCCTCTGTCAGGTATAAATATCGGCGTGGGCGTGTATTTGGTGACCAGCTAAGGCCAGAGAAGGTCGAAGAGTGGTGTGGTTATTGGAATGAGGATGTACTTGGTCGTACTTGTAGACTCGATGAGACAAAGATAGGAGTCAAACTCGTTGGGAGCGAAATAACGACGTGGAGGAGTAATTTGGATTTTTGCCTCGTAGGCCAACTTCTTTGATATTGCGAAATTTGACTGAACTTGGCTCTGGGAGAATATTTCACTCCCAGGTTCGTAGAGGACACCGCGTACAGGTGTTCAGTCTTGCCCTCCAACGCCCCTGATCATCATTACTAGTCTGACATGCCTGCATGTAGATCGTGCCTACGCTTTTGGACTGAATACAGACTTATTCAAGCATAAGTCTGCCTACAATAAGGATGTTATTGTAGACTGCTGCGCAAACAGGAATAGCCGCGCTATGATTTATGGGGTGAGTATGTTGTGAACTTGTAAGGGTCATGGGAGGGTAATTTAAGTGTGGTCCACAGCATTTTGAGTGGAACTTACACAACCATCTTTGTCTGTAATTTTATCTTCTAACAAAAAATTGAATGCGAAGCAAATCTGCCGTTATAATTAATCAATTTATTGTTCTGGATATTCATATAATTGATAGTGTTAGGAGTACCGGCGCATCTGCTTAGGTAAACAGCATGGATTGGATTACTAAGACTCAAATATGTATAAATAGCTTTCGTTGGATATATTGTAATAACGAGGTTATGAGAAGTCTAAGAATTGTCACAATGGGTGTAACAGTCAACTTGGGTGGATGTAAGATAGCACTTTAAGTCTAACGTGAAGAAGACAGATATATATTGTAGATCTGCTATATTGATGACTATTGAATATAAGAATGGAAAAGGTTGATCATTATACAGAGGTCTAGCAGCGAGTATTTATACACAAAGACAATATACACAATATACCATCAATAGCAATAACTGCCAACCATTCAGCCATTCAACAACTATGTCATTAGATATACCTGCGTCATATTATCATATAATCATGTATGGTTGAGATATTGGTGTTGTCATTGCTGTGTGCCGATGACGTATCATTGAAGCAGGGTCGCTTGTCCTGTTGGTTCACTTGCCCAATACTAGCCATTCCAAGTTGTGTGATCTATAAGTGGGTCTGATCACAACAGGTTTTCTATGCCTAGATGGCGCCACACTCGTTTATGCTCTGGCTTAGGCTCTGTGTCGCTTACACTTGTACTTGTAGCGCACACTTCCCACACTTTTAGCTGTAATCTGAATATGACATTCTTTTAGTCAACTTCTACTTTCGTTCCATGAATATTGCGCCCATTACATTGCGCGATATTTCCAACATTATTTCCAATGTCTGTGATAACAGAAATACACAAACAAAGTCAATGATCAAGTTTAAAGTCGATAAGCTACACTTCGAGATGTTGATAGCCGAGGTACATCAATCGATGATGATGTTCTTCCAGGTTAGCTTGCCACTACTGACAGCTGGTCACAGGGAATATATGAGACTGAATGCATTTGCCGGACGACCCGCTATAGTGCTAAATAATTCACTTCACCAGGCGTTTTTGGCAAATGAATTAACCTTCTATTCCATGGAAACTATCAGGAATGTAAGGGACTGTCCTGTGCAGTTGTAAAAAATGACATAGATCTAGATGATGAGAGAAAAACAGTATCTCCTTTTACTTGCTAGAAATCTAAGATACATATATTCCCGTCCAAGATTCCTTCAAGACTCTCCCGCCGTTTCAGCTAGCAGCCTATTCATGTTGAGACTGTAGCATATTAGGCTAGTCAGTACATTGGGCTAGTCATTGTATTAGGCTAATTAGTGTAACATCTAATCTCTGGACGAAACATATACAAATGTATCAAGCAAGTTGATGCAGTTTATATGTCGAGACATGTTTAGCATAACAGCGACGTCCTCGTATACACAACTGTCTCGGGATACCTGACAGAAACTCCCATAAAAGTAGCTTGGGGAAAGAGTAATCTGGTGAATGACCCTAAAGTCCGAGTATATCTCCGTGAGTATGAGGAACGTTTTCCAGGTCTGTTTGACCCTGCAAAGAGGAAAACTAACGCTGTCCGAAAACTCTCTCGAGTCAAACATCGTATTGACACAGGTAATGCTGCTTCCGTAATTCACAAGCCTCGTCATTATAGCCCCGCTATTACGGGTTTTACCCGGTGTTAGTTGGCTGGGCTGACTTACGGGCCCAGCCTTGCATGTAAGTGGGATGTGGGAAATAGGCCTGTCTATTGCAACAGGTTAGACGCTTAGTAAGTGCTTTTGTAAGGTGGTCATCAGCACACACCTTACATTGGCTCTGTCCCACTGGAGTGTTCTCTTCATAGAAAATATAGATTATTTTGTGGCAGCCTTTGCGTACAGCGTCCGTGATTCTCGTCCTTTTACACCCGCTCAGGATACTTTTAGTAGGGATTTGGTCAACAAACGTAAGGGTAGCTTGCTGCAAAAGAGCAAGTCACTTTGAGCCTCTTCTTCACACTTGGTGCCCAAGAAATCCCTGGACTAGCCCAGGGCACTCAAACTATTCACATGCAGAAGACTGGAACAATAAAAATTGGATAACCTTGCACAGTGCTCCTTGCATATTATATTCCTTAAAAGATCATTGGTATGTCGCCCTTTATGAATAGCCATTCGGCTCAGTCTTTACTCTTAGAATTCAGCCACCTTTTCAACGAAACCTTCTATCCAAAAAAAAAAAAAAAAAAAAAAAGGTAGCAATTGAAACTGAGTGTGCGGGAAAAAGTCTCGAAAACCCTGCTGCCCAAGCCAGGCGAGGCCTATACACCGGGACCATATGAGGTGCGCATATTCATCTATATCTTCCTTCTTTTTGATAGTCGAGGCCGACTTGATCCAATCCACCATCTCCGTATCGGGTGCTGGGTACGCTACGGAAACTCATCGGATGGCTTTTCCTCCATGATCAAGGATTAGTGATGAGTAGGGCTCCGACCCTACCATCTGATCTGATCGTGGTTAGCTTCATGAAAATGGTGATAGGGGAATGTGTTGAGAGATTAAGATGATACAGATCACGAAAGCGGTTGGGAATCCTCGTCGAAGTGATGACTAAGGTCTGACTCAATCTCAGCTCTGCTGTGACTGAAACCGAGTTGGTGATGAGTAAATCGATTTATTAAACTATTTGAGGAGAAAAGAGAACTCTAGCTACTTCTAACAGGTATTTATAAGTGTTGATCATCCTCGTAAATCTACAGACTAGTGACTTGTCCTTAGGCACAATGCTTTTTACCCAGCCACGTATTTCATGGTGTCACTAAGTTGTAATAACGTTCGGCCTCCTGATTTGTAGTGCTGTTTCGTTAATCTCCATCTCCTCCCCATACAGTCTTATCGTAAGAATTCTCAATATTAAGCTTAGGTCTACTCCTAAGCTCAAACATCGGTCAAATCGTAACATCTGCAGACTCTACAGTGAGAGTTGGAGGTTCGTATGGGACACCACTGTTGGGTGTTGAGAATAGTTCCCCATGGATGGGGTGGCCGCTTCGCGTTCCATCACTCTCGTGCTGGTAGACTTGTATGCTCCGGTGACAATTTTCAGGCGATTCCTATGTATGCATCTGAGAGGTCTAACTAACATCTCTGGTATTTTTCCACCCGGCCCGACATCGGCCCAAATAGGTGACCTGTATGTTAGTGCCGGCCTCACAATCTTGCTATAGAGTATCTTTGACTTGTGAAATGTGACTTCCCACGTTGATTGAACTAGCCTACTGAGATCCTGAACCTGCATATCTGCCTTCAGTTGAAGGCTCTTGATGTGAGCTCCCCAGCTCAGCTTGGGATCAAAGTAGATTCCAAGAGCCCATAGGGGAGGCTGTGGGACCGTGATATGGCCCTGGATTTCAATCGTCGCTTTGAGATTGTGACGTTTCCTGGCTCGGGAGAAACGCATCAGCTAATACTTTTCAGGCGCGAATCTGACCCCATGTCTTCTTGCCCACTGTTCGCAGATTTGATGTTTTTCCTCCAACTTTCGGCAGTTTTCTTCGGTCGAGTTTGACTATGTCAGGATGTTTGTGTCATCTTCGAATCCAACTGCTGTCGAGAAACTACTTTTGTTTACAGTTGGATTCCGAGGGGCCTTGAAAAATGAATTTCCCCTAAATATTGTGAGCGCTTTGCAGCGTATTGCCCACTATACTAGATCACACGATGCGAATAGGTCAGATTTCAGACAGAAACTTAGCCTTCTCCAATGTAGAGGCGAATTGCTTAGCACCACGAGAGGTGCTGATCTAGACTTGAATAGATTAGTAATATATTTAAATATTGTCTTACACGCATGACATCTTGAAATCTTCTGATAGTATATCACGCGCCACTTTGATCACAAAGTCGTTCTTGAGCGTGACCAATAGCAGACATGAAATCCGAGGCATGAGTGATCTTCTTGTAAATTGAGTCATCTTTTCTGTACTTTTCTTTAATATTGTGTCATAGCTAAATAGCTGCATACGTAATTAAGATCTGATGCAAAAAAGAAGACCAACCGCAGAAAACAATGCTTACACCACTTCAAAGTGTGGTACCTTAATTTCGTGGATTTGAAGGTTGTATATTTTGTACTCAGATTATGTTTTCGTTTAGTTAGAGACCTTATGTGTCATGAAGGTTGTGAATATCAAGTATAAATTTATTAGATTAGGCAGGAAAATTACGAGGTTATGTCAGCAGGCGTGTCGCCAACTTGATTTCGTGTTTTGTTTTTTAGCTTAGTTGTTATATCCCAGACAGGAGTGTAAGTATTATCCAACATATCACGTTGTGCAACAAAGATGAGAGTTGAGCCACTTCGAACTCTAATCTTGGTCATATCCCGTATCACATTTTAGGGGCTAGATAATTTGAGATGAAACTAGAACAAATTTTCGACTTCTAATCAAAGAGACCAAAGCCCATATCTTCATCTGACTCCTCTTTTTCTGTGCGCAAGTTAGAAATGATCACTTATATGGTGGATTCGTGTGATTACCTTCTTCCTTTTCTTCTTCTTTCTTATCTTCCTCGACAGCTGCGCCCGCAGAAACCCCGCCGGAAGTTGGGGCGGCAGCAGCACCTCCGCCGGATCCAACGTTAAGTAGCAGTTCCTTTACATCTTTGCCTTCAAGCGCCTTGAGAATTTGTGTTAGTTATATAGCTTGAGATATAAATTGGACATTTCAAACCTTCGCGAAGAGGTTGGACCATATAGGCTCTACATCAACAATTCCAGCAGCCTTAATGAGTGTCTGTAATTTATCGGCCTTCATAACGCAGTTAGAAAAAAGCCGTCCGTTATTACTGCAATTATTAGTTGAAGAACTTACAGTGATCTCGAGTCCATCGTCGGAAAGAATCAGGGCAGCATAGGAAACAGCGAGTTCTGCGGTCGACATTTTGAGTCTTTAGATTGTAAGTGATTGCACTTCAAAGTAATCTCTGAGAAATGGTCTGGTTTATAGCGACGGAACTTACAGTGAAAGGAAATTAGTCAAGATGAACAGGGTATTTGTTGGTTTTGATTTTTGGATTTCAAAAAACGTGTGTTGTGTGTTTCCTATCTAAGCACATGGGAACTAGACCAGCATAAACCTAGGCACAAATAAATGCCATTAGTAAGTAATTTTAAGCGAGGGCTGTACTTACCCTGGCATGTGGGCAAGACCGAAGAGCCCCTCCTCCATTAGGTACAGCCGTCATAATTGTAGACTAACATTGGAGAGGATTCGGATGAAGAGAGTCATAAAATTGCTGCTTAAATTCCAAGATAGCCGGCCAACTCTAACTTAAGTACTAGACCTGTATCCGATTACATATAGAATAACTAAATTGTCATCATGACCGATACGCCATCCTTTCCATTACCCCTCGATTCCCGCGAACAAGACATTCTAGAAAATCTACGCCACTTGCGTGATGAATTGACACTATTAAAGCAAGATCGTTCAACATATATTAAGTCTGCAGATGTTATTTCAATCTATGATAGAACAGTGGAGCAAGTACATTTTCTCAACGAAATTCGGATAACCAAGCCGACGGAGCAAAACCAAGGTAGATTGAGTTGGCTCATCACATTTAATTACATAATCTGACCATTTTAAAGTTGATCGAATGCTAGACTGTTGCTTTCAATTATTGTCTTTATTTTTTATGACAATTGGAAGAAACAATGAGGCACCGGCAGCGTATGCTCTAACATCGACTATTAAGCGCTTGTTAGATCATTTGACTGAGGCAGAAATATATTCAGCCAAAGATCTCTCGCACATCTCTTCAACTCTCGAGAAGCTTCAAACTGTAGTTGAAAATTCAGATGAATCACATTCACAGAATCTGATTACTTTGCTCACAAATCGAATTAATCTCTGCAAAAATTCATTATCCAGCCTGAAAATTCGCCTATCATATCTTGATGATGAATTACTAACAGTACATGAAAAGTTGATATCTATTTTGAGGCTGCTATCTTCAGCTAACACAAGAAAAGTAGTAGGTAATTCTCGTATTTTACAAAATTAAAGACTGACTTTTGATGATCAGTTTTCTAAGACTGAGGTTGAAAAGCTTCAATATCAACTCAGGGAAATCAAAAAAAATAAGAAAATCGAAAATTTTACAAATCCCATAGATAAAGCACCTCGAGGAAGAGAGGAAATTTTTTTTCTTGTTGAGAAATGCTCCATTTGGGCTGATATTACTCTTGAACGGTTAGTGCACCCATATCTGCTCGATAAAATTACAGCACAGTAATACTATTTAGCAAAGGAGAGATTCCAGAGGGATTTAATACGACCTACCTATCACTAGTAGATATCCGGAATGAACTCGCAAAGCTATCTCTAACCCAAGCGTGGTCACTGCGGGAAACCGACTTGTACGATTATCAAAGGCAACTTGATAAAATTGATGAGAGCCGGATCAACGGGAATTTTTACAGTATCGAAGGAAATGCCGCAGACTTATACGTGCAAAGGGTAAACTGCTCACAAAAAGCTCAAAGAACTAGCTGACATGACAGACTTTCTTATACCTAATTCGGCGTAGCTATGCTTACATTTATTATCTCATGGTCGCATCTGAACCAGTATCGGAAGGCCTTCTCCCAGTGTACAATCAACTTCAAACATTGAGAAGATGTCTCAGAGAAGTAAAGAAGTCAGGTGGGGTCGGCTCTCCGAGAGAATTGTATCCGTACACGATGAAACTTGACTCACTTGACAGCTTGCGAACTAACGGCAAGTTCCTCGTAGGAAACGAAATTCCTGATGGACAAGAATGCGTGAACAATCTTTTGTCAGAGTGCTGCGACCTTCGACACCAATTGCAGTTAGAGGCAGAAAAGGTCGCTGAACGGAAACCTTAACAAAGAAACTTATAGCAAAACTTAACCGAAAATTCTGAATTCACTAAATGTGTCTCTGACTTTAATAGATTTCAAAACACCAAATTTGAAGTTTAAGTCAGCGATATCGCAGCGCACAAAAGCTTGCTAAGACACAATCTTCGTTCTCTATTCCTATTTGAATCTCGGGCTCTAAAAAAATTAGGTATTTAATACTTCCTTGTAAGTAATCATTATTTCATTTCTCTCATGAACACCAAGCCTCTCCTCGGCAACGATATTTTTGTTGCTGAGACCAATTAAAGAATATCTCCCTACAATATTAATTATCAAATGTGATCAATTGAATGACAGTGCAATCCTTATTGAAAGGAGTGTTCGTTGGGCTACATTTTGAAGATAAGTTGTAAAATCTGATCGACTTTTCAAATAAAATTCTATTTTTGTCGTTGTGGGAAACAGATTGAGTATCAAAGAAATAAAAGTTAAAGGGGTAATCAATTTTTTGCTCAGAGGTGTTCAGCGGTAATAAAAAGTAAAAGATCATGGTTATAATATACGGCGAACTTTATCATTTTAATCGGTCTGATTAATTATGAGAGCTTCTTATTCTTACATTTAACTTAACAGAATCTTGTATTTTGCTATATTCAATTTTCTTAGCTGACTTTGTACCTTTTTTTCTTTTAAAAATGAAGTTTAAGTTACATTTATCGTGACTATCGTGGCTGATAGCCCCTGGAAAAAATATTAAGAACGAGAAAGCATTTAATATTCGGAAAGTTATATTTATTACTTGGCTATTTGTTGATATTTAGAAGGTTGAAAAATGAAGATTTGTCTACGGCATCATCTAGGAAGTTGAAGTGGAAGAACTGTCCGATAGTCAATATCCCACATGACTTGAAATTTGCAAAGCAAAACACAATGGGCCACAGAACATTGATTCGATGATTCTAAACACTTTCATTGTTTAACTCTACAAAAGACATACTTTAAAATAGACCCCATCAAATTAATAATAAGCTTTATATTTGACTTTGTCTAACCCCATTTTGCGTCATATGGGTCTATGTGTACGGCTATGAATCTATCTATCTATATATATCTTTATGTATATTTTTTTTTTGCGTCAGATTTTAATTGCGTATGCAGTTATCCAGCTATGACACAATATCAAAGAAAAGTACAGAAAAGATGACTCAATTTACAAGAAGATCACTCATGCCTCAGATTTCATTTGTAAGTACTACTGCGAAGTTATGGCGGCTTTTTCTTCACCCCAAGTCAACCCTGATCCGTGAATACCAACCAAAAGGAACGTCTTGAAAACCCTGAATTATCCAGACATGCCTCCATCATCCGTTCACATTTCTCCGCGCGAAATATGGTCTTTGGTGTCTCCTTCCCAAGTGGAGTAGGTGCCCAAGCTACTCAGACCATACCAGAGAACACCACCACGAGGCGGACCACTACACCTTCCATCGCCGAGTTGTTTTTATAGTGTCAACTGCACTCTCGCAGCCGGCAGAGACGAATTCTTCACCTTACAGTGGTGCCGGTGTAATCGCTCAGTATGCTCTGCATATCTGGGATAGCCAAGAAGAATCGCATCCAAATCGAAGTCGAAAGCAAACACATGCATATCTCCATTTGACGACTTCTCAATCATGCAGCACTCCCCATTATCCTCTGAGTCCTCAACTTCTTTCTAAACACATATCATCTCGCCTCGACGACCGATAAAGGCGTCACCCCAATTGCAAACAGGAGCTTGCCTCATTCATTACCGGCCATCACTCACTACAAATTTACGACGCTATTTATACCCGCAAGGAGGAAATCAAGTGGAAAAATACAAAGTTGGGGTCTTGGTTTATGGGGGACTGCTGCTCTAATGGGGTTATACATCTTGAGGAAGGACAGGCGGCTGAGATGTGGAGCGAGAGGGGAAGTAGGTCTCTGAATTCCATGCTAGGACTGACATATTTGAGGAGTTTTCAACTTTGGATTTTTTGTGGACGCCAAGACCTAGATTTCGACTAACTAGCCAGGAGGGCTTCTATTGTCGATGAGTCAACGGCACTTCCCAGCGCCCTGGACGGCACAAAAGAAATTAAGCTAAGCTACTATACAGCAATTACGCTTTGTCAAGACTTTTCTGACATTCCAGCACGACCTTCGGGAAGGAGTTGGAAGGAGGCTAGAAATGCAGAGGGTGAATTTCCCGAGGTACACACAAGTCTGCAGCGCCTAGCTGGCCGGCCTCTTTGAACGCTTCAGAAGGATCACTATGTCTTCGGATTTATTCCTAATGTCGGTATTAGAAGAGCCCCGCACCCAGTAGTTCTTGCGATTTTTTCCGGCTGCCATACACCCGCAAATGGCCATCGTTTCGTTGGCTGGAGAGGGGAGATAATGAAGGGCTAAGGGTTCCTCTTAGTGTATCATCGAATGAGGACTTGTGAGGGGTGGTACTGTTTGAGGGGAGCTGTATGGGAGGCATGGGAGGGGATATACTACTGGCATAGTTATCCTTGGCCTGTAGGCAGAGAGGACCTGCATGTCCTACATAGTCATAGACTCAGACAGGACAATAAAATGAATTAATGAAAACTGCACTCTCGCAAGCGAAGTCTTGGCGCACCCAAAGCCCAATTCGTAAAACTCTGCCAAATTTCAGAATTCACGCACGTCGAGATTGCATCCATCCACTGTGTCATTTTGTCAACTTGTCCTGATCCCTCTTACGTCCATCTCAAAGAACTGTGCCTCAAATTTGTGCGCCACGCTTTGCTACCTCCGTCGGGTATAAATATAGGCGTGGGCGTGTATTTGGTGGTCGAGGCCAGAGAAAGTCGACGAGAGGTATGGTCATTGGGATGAGGATGTACTAGGTCGTACTTGAAGACTTGATGAGGCTTAGGTAGGAATCGATCTCGTTGGGAGTGAAAATTTGACGTGGTGGAGTAATTTGGACCATTGCCTCGTGGGCCAGCTTCTTGAGTATTGCGAAATGTGACTGAACTTGGCTTTGGGAGAATATTCCACTCCCAGGTTCGTAGATGACACCGCGTACAGGTGTTCAGTCTTGCCCTCCTATCTATATATTTACATGGGGGGGAGGCACCACCACGATAAAACCCCCGATGCATAAAGAAAAAAGATTAAAATACCCACCCCCTACTTAAATTTAGTCCCGTAATCCTTCGTTGAATACAAAAGTGCAATTGGCCCTGAGTCCGAAACAGGTGTTGGACTATTTTGGAAATGGTAGAAGGTAACAGATCATTGAAGGGTTGCTTCTCTGTTCTCTGGCTATCGAGTATCTAAAATACATAGCTTTCCTCATATGAAACCCTACTAGATAACTCGCTCGCAATAATGCTACTACCGAAACATACCAAAACGTGCTCAGGATAGATAAGATTAGTATATCATCGGAAACATAAATGTAAACCCAATTCAAAGTATGAGTTATGTAAAATCCGAACAAAAAGATATTTTCCTTGATACGCATCACGTATCAGCATTAACTTCTCCGACCTGAGTCATGTTATGAGTAAATTCGGGTAAACCTAAAATAACCGTAGCGCAACAACAGGACTTTAATATGATTCCATAATCCTGATTTGACGCATTATGGGCTCATGCAGGTGGCTGTAAACCTATCTATATAATTAAATAGGAGGAAACCCCCCCAGTTTTCTACCGGTGGCTATCTGACCCGCGAGAGCGAGATAGTGCGCTACGAGACATCCTCTTGGCTAGGTTTAGCGGCGAGAATGACATTTCTACCTGGGAGAATGGACAGGAGGAGCGTATTCTGTGGGATACGGAAATATCACTTGACGGTATGACAAGCGCCACTTAATCTGTCAACGATACGATACCGGGAGCGGACAAGATAACGGTACGGTTACTGATAGCCTGTTAGTCCCATCTAGTACCTCTCGTGAAAGATCTTTACCAGGCTTGTCTGAAAATCGGCTACTTTCCCACGGATTTTCAGGGTAGCAGAAGTTGTGCTCCTTCCAAAGCCGGACAGAAATCTGTTAACTGCTAAGGGTAGACGACCAATCTCACTGTTGTCGAGTTCGGGCAAAAGACTTGAGCGTTTAGTTGGCAAGAGAATGGCATGGCTGACAATAAGTCACCAAGCTGTTCATCCAGAATTATTCGGTTCCGTATCAGGACGATCTGCAGTTGACCATGCATCCTGTCTAATCCCCGATGCTGAGGCGGCCATGAGAAGTGATAAGTGTGCGGCTAAGGTCATACTTGATATTTAAGGTGCATTTGATGCAGTCCTTCACAACCGAATGCTCAAAAGCCTTGGAGAAGAAAGCTGGCCACGATCCCTGTGCCGGTTACTCAGACATTTCTTTGCCAACGAAAAGTCCAGGTGAAATACCGTGGTGGAATCACAGAAGAGAAGAGACTGGAATGTGGAGTACCTCAGGGCTCGCCACTCTGGCCACTTCTTTTCATGCTCTACATCGCTGTGCTTTTTGAGGATCATGGTCTAACGAGCAAGTTTGGCTATGCAGATGATGTAGCTATTGTCAGAATTGGAGACACCGTGGCGGATACTATATCCGCAGCCCAAGACGACCTCGACAGCTTTATCTTTCTCGCAAAAGAACACAGGATCGATTTTGACCTAGCAAAGTCAGAACTTCAGGTGACCAGCATAGGGCCTAGAAAGAATATCAACACGGCTGACCATTTCATCTTGGTGAAAGATGGCCGAATCGAACCGTCACCTCATATCCGGTGGCGAGGAGTCTGGCTCGATACCCAGCTAAACTTCATGCGACATGTACAGGAATGGACTGCAAAGGCTAATCGTCTAGTCTATTTCTTACAACATATAAACGGAGTTCAACGCAGTGCAGCACCCGGACCTTTGATTCGTGCGGTACATGTATGCGTTCCGAGCACAGCTCTATATGGGGCAGAAGCGCGGTAGTCGGGTCTCACTCGAATAACTTCTTTGCGAGATAATGAAGTCGGCACTG